CTCTCTCTCTCTCTATCTCTCTCTCTCTCTCTCTCTCTCTCTCTCTCTCTATATATATATATATATATATATATATATATATAGTGTTCAAAACTTAAATCCTTCTTATGTCTATACCCAAAAAATAGGTACTTCTCAAATTTAAAAAATAAAAAAAGATCACATGAGCAAATCATAACCCAAAAAAAGATAGTTTCTAAAATATTTCGATATATAACCCTAATTTTGATTGGGTTCATATTATAACCATACTCACTAAATAAATATCATTGATAATTTTTCTATTTATAATTAGGTTCTTAGATAAAATTAAGACTATCACAACGTCTTTGATTGATTATACTTCATTATTTAGTAGTAATAATGGTTTTGTTAAGTATTCTAATTGGATGTGAAAGGTTATTTGAATCATTAGTCATTTTTTTGTTGACATACAAAATTGACTTAAGATCAAAATTAAACTTAGTATCCACTCATAATGATCGAATATCCTCATGTACTTTTCTTATATAAAAAAAATTAAATTTTAAAGTTTGGATCAATAGACTCTTTCATTTTAAGATTATTAATCTCTAACCCATCCAATGTTAATATTTAACTCATCTCTATTTTTGTTTGGCAAATGAATAATAATTTCTAATATTTCTTCTTTCATGTATCGATTAAAGGCAATCAACAAATCATATTTCTGACTTTTGAGGTGTTAGGACTCTAGCTATGAGAGTCCTAATTGAGAGGGGTATTCATGTAAAACCTACGACCCCTATTAAAGAGGTGAAGAGATCAGTTAGGGTTTGGAGGTTATTTTTTAGAGAAGAATTAGAAGTTATAAAATAATATGAGTCTTGAGTAAGAGTCCTATTAGGAGTCTTGAGTAGAAGTCTTAATTGAATAGGAGTCTTGAGTAGGAGTCCTATTAGGAGTTAAGGTTTAGAAACCTATAAATAGTCATATATTCCTCCTCTTTTAATAAACAATAGATGAATCTTTTCTGCAGTCTTTGAGCAGCAACTTAGAGGGAGGAACCCCTATAAAGTTCTAAGGAGGCCGATCCCCTAAAGAGATTAACCCAAAGTTTAGAATCAACAAGGGTTCTAACATGAGAGTCCCAACTCGTACGTATCTTTCTTTTTTCACATTTAAATTACTGGTTAATAATGTTTAGCTTCAAAATATGTTTTTCGCTAGACTTCAAAAATTTTGTGTATAGTTTTCAATAATTATTGGAAAATAACTATAATGCAAAAAATAATTATACCAAGAATTGAAACATAAATTATCATAGATTTGGGAAGGATATATGTGTACCTTTATTTGATATGCTTATGTCTAATCCAAATACCTCATGTTATTGTTGTCACCTCTTATTCCTGTAAGGAAACTAGCCCTCTTCGTCTTTCTCCTACTTCCAGCACGACCATCATTATTGATGGTGTCATATCACAAAACATGTTATACAACATAAATGACTTTGCCTATTTATAGGGGAGAGGAGGGAGGCTTTGTGAAGACATCTCGGATATTCTCTTTTATCAAGATGAATATTCAAGATTTAAATCTATATAAATATTGTCAATCAAATATTTGATTAGAATCTACTCATAATCCATCTTATTGATTAGGTTATTAGCCACATATGGTTAACATTTTTCTATTTATCTCATAAATCGAAAGAGATATAAAATAAACATTCAAAATCATAATAATAAAATAAAATTTTATTTTTAAAATAATTTTACTTGATTAGATTATAAGTTTCAAAAGATAATTTTATACATGCATGATCTAAAAAAGATGTAAATAAATCTAATAAATGTCATAATATTATATCAAGTTGAACTACCAATACGAGTAATAGCGGTTATATGTCATTTGTATCGTATTTTCTTCTATGTACTATAGCATTAATAATTCTTCTCAAATGTAGTTAATAAAAATCTATGTAATTTATTTTGTTAGGATAATCCTATTATCACGTACAAATATAATATGTAAATAATAATAACAAAACAGGGTAATAGAAATAGTAACTTTTATTTACACAAATAACAAACATTAATTACAAAAACCACTAAGACATACATCACCTACATTTTATGGATTGCTCACAAGATCTATTCTAAGAATATGTTTTTTATATACTTTTAGATTGTAATGCCTTAGTTAATAGATCAATAATCATAACAATAATCACTTAGACACGCATCATTTTACATTTTATAGGTTACATACAAAACCTATATTAATAACATATTTTTCATATACTTTAGGTTGTAAGGTGTTAGTCAATAGATCAATAATCATTAAAGTAGTGTTGAAGTTTTCAACAAACACTTCTTCTGGACTCTTTCTATAATAACTAAATACCTTATCTCAATGTGCTTAGAATGACAAAAGTATTTACTATTCTTAGAAAAAAAATTATTATAGTATTATCACAAAATATCTTTAGTGACTTGACAATTGAGTCAACTACACTAGGTCGTAAAGTAAAATTTCGCAACTATAAAGTTTGATTGGTAGCCTCAAAACACGTCACAAATTCAGTCTCAATTGTTGATGATATAATAATAGATTACTTAGCACTCTTTCAAAAAATTAGTTTACCAACTGACAAAATTATATATCATAAAGTGGACTTCCTATTATCAATGCAACTCACAAAGTTAGCATCTAAATATCTTATCATTTTTTTAGCTTTTTAATGCTTTATTCCTTCATTACTGTAGTATCTATTTAATATTCCAATTACAAAATTAATATATTTCACCTATAAAACTAATATATAATCTGATATAGGTTTGAGTATATAATAAACTTTCAATTAAGCATATATATTTTTCATCTAATTCAATTCCAAATAAACTTTAATTCAATTCAATTTTGCATCCTTTGTCATAGGTGTATCTTTTTGAGATAGTAGTCGGAGTAATAACTGAGATTGATCTTTAATGATCTCTATGCTAATAACATAAGTTGTCTCATTTATATCAACAATCTAAAAATTCTTAGTGAGAAGTTCATAGTTTTATATAGTAAACTAATATTACTATTGGTAAGTAGAATATCATCCACATACAAGATCAAAATAATAAACTTGCTCTCATTAATCTTTAGATATATGCATTGATCAATAATGCTTTTACTAAATCTAAAAGCAATAATGGTATTATAAAAAATTATATATCAATCTAAATTCTTATTCAAAAGTATTATTTTCATATTTATTTGATGCAACTTAAGATCATAATAAGCTACTAAGGGTTTCATGATTTTTAATAAGCTTTTTTCTAAATTTAAGAAAAAAGTCTCCTTATAATTAATCTCTTTATTATGAGTAAAGCCTTTGATCATAAGTTTGACTTTATATCATTCGATATTGCTTTTTGAGTCGAGTTTAATCTTAAATACTCATTTAAAATATACTCTTTTATAATTATTAGATAATTCGATGAGCTCTCAAGAATTATTCTAGTCTAATAATTTCATATATTCCTTCATAGCATCATATTATATTTCAAAATTATTATTATTTATATCTTGTGAAAATGTTAAGAGGACTTTTGATTCTTATATCATAATTTGATTCTTATATATATACATCATATAATAATTAAAAATAATAAATATCTTTTCTCTTTAAATATTCTCAAAGATATCAATTATGGTTGTTATATAAGTTTATCGATAATAATATTTTTATTATATAAAAGTTTATTAATGTTATTACATTGTTCATTTTTCTCAATTTGTTTAGTAATTTAACAACTTTTTGAATAGAAAATAATAAAAGAGTATCAATATGTATCTTCTTAATATTAAACATTTTAAAATTTTCACTCCCACTAGTTTTAGTATTTTCTAGGAATATTACATTATGAGACTCAATTATTCTGTACTATAGTTTAAATAATAAAATCTGTATCTTTTATATTTTTCTAAATAATCAATAAAATATCTAAAAATAATTCTTTGATCTAACTTCTTTCCATACGAGTTAAAACTCTTATCTCTACTAAAAAATCCCAACTATATAAATGTCTTAAATTAAATTTTCTACTTATCTATAATTCGAATGAAGTTGATTAACTAACTTAGGATAATCTCTTAGATTTTTCTAGATAATCAATGAAATATCCAAACATAAGTCTTCAATCCAACTTCGTGTTAAAATATCCTTATCTCAACTGAAAATTTTCAACTATGTAAATGTCTTAAATTAAGTTTCCTACTTATCCATTATTCGGATGGAGTTAATAAAACTAACTTAGGATAATGTTCAAGATATACATAGTAATTTTAAGGACTTCTTCCTACGTTGAATAAGTATGGAAGGAAAATGCATCATTCTTTTAATCATATCCAAAAGGATACGATTGAGTATTTCATCAATATCATTCTGCACTCATGATAATAAATATTAAATAAAAATATCTTATTTTTGTAAGAATTTAGCAAATAGGCCAGAATGCTAATCTAATCTACCATCCCTAGACCTTATGATTTTGACTTTTTTATTTGTTTCTCATATTTACACTTCAAGAATGTCAATTGCTTGAGACGCTTTCGTATCAAATATACATATTTATATCTTGAAAAGTTATCAATAAAGATGATGAAATATCTTTCTCCACTGAAACATGAAATATAAAGCGATCTATAAATGTTAGTATATAAAATCTTAAGAAGTTCCTAGCTTCTTATAGAATTTTTTTTATGTGTTTAGTTTGCTTTACTTTAATATAATCTAAATACAAAATAAAATTAGTGAAGTCTAGATATTTTAAAATTTTAACTATTATTAATCTTTCGATTCTTTCTTTACAATAGATGACACATGAAGGAATCTTCATTGATGGTACTACATTTTATTCCAATATCTAATTATATGAATAGTCAAGGTTTTTATATATTCATGATTTAAATTAATTCTATATAAATCATCAAATAAAATTCTATATATATTGAGTTTTCCAAAACCAAAAGAAAGAGTACAACCTAATTCATCTAATTTAGAAATGAAAACTAAAGTTTTAAAAATTGAAGAAACACATGAAGCATCTTCAAGATCCATCAAATGTTATCACCTTTGTTTTGAGATGATTCTCTATCACAATATTTTTTTTTTCAGATTAAAAAAATCTACTATTTATTAGTAACATGAGTTAAACACCATAATATATCTAGTAAGTATTAGAAAAAACTTTAGTAATATTTAATTCAAAACATACATAAGTAAATATACTATCTCTTTTAAAAAAAAGAAAGCTATGCATGTAGGATAGTTATCACCATAAAATGTCCACTATTACCATAAAAGTTATATTTTATTATGAAGATTTTTTTCTTGAGTTTGAGAAAATTTTCAGACCCAACTTATTTCGTAGATAACATTTAATATTACTTTTATTATTATTATTAGTTCCTTCAGAAATAATGAAACATCATGATTTTTTTAACTTAAATCTTATTTTTTTCTGCACGCATATGGTCAATTCATTTAAATTTCATCGATTTTTATTTGTGTTTAACATATTAGATATTTGATTACTGGATTGTGTAAATTCAACCTGAACTGCAACAGATAAAGTGGGTCAGAAAGGATAGGACATAAAACAAAGAGTGACAACCTTGCCAGGAGTCATCAGCTCCATTCTTCTCAGCATCTTCTATCATGGCCACAGCCGGCCAGAATACAAGAGAAAGAGAAGCAGGCGGTGAGCAATCGCCTATCAGTCAGACGGTGGACAAGCCCACTTCTCGCGGACTGCATGAAAACAAGAGACAGGGCAACATGTCACCCCTGTCCTTCACGCTGAAGGAAGGTTGCAAAAAGTCCAGCTTTGCTGCGATCTGTGCATGACAGCCTTCAGTCACTTTGTTCAGGGACACCATCGGCGTCCTCCCAATAAGCTGAGAGACAGGGCAACATGTCACACCTGTCCTTCACGCTGAAGGAAGGTTGCAAAAAGTCCAGCTTTGCTGCGATCTGTGCATGACAACCTTCAGTCACTTCGTTCAGGTACACCATCGGCGTCCTCCCAATAAGCTGCGCTGCGTTCACCATATCAAACTCTTGTCACCAGGAAAAAAAAAAAAATTCAACTTTTGCTCTTTCTCTCCCTTTCTTTCTGTGCATTTTCACCAAACCAAACTATTGTCACCAAAAAGATAATTTTTGGCCTCTTTTTCTTCCTTTATTTTTGTACATTTGTCAAAGTTTGAAGATTGCTCGAGGATAGATGGAAAGAAAGAGGTAAATTCAAGGCAAAAGGTTATAGTCCGACGGAGTGGTGAAGCAAAGAGCGAAAAGGGGCTCACTTGCGTGGCTTCCTTGTTGATTCAGAGAAGCCGCCGCAGGATCCACCGCTTGTTGAGTAGAGAAGAGCGAGGCCATTCGGAGAAGAGGCAACCCGTTCCTTCCCCTTTTCACGAGCTCCATCATGTTCCTCGCCATCTCTCTCTCTCTCTGCCTGCTGCTACTGCGGCTGCTGCTGCTGCGCTATCTCCGTCTCAATCTATTCATCTATTCAACTTATTGGATGACACAAGTGGGGCTACGCGCGTTCAACACCAGCCACGTTAAGCGAGCGGATCTCCTGTTGAATCACAGGCAGGGAACAGGGAATCAGCATCTCGCAAAGTGGGACCCTGCAACAGTGACCACCTCACATTTTCTGTTTGGTGGTTGTACTAAGTCATAAATCGACAATTTAGTACATAAACTTGAAAGATTCAAAGCGGAATCGACATATCGCAGCATCTTAAGCATAGATAGGTACTCGGCATGGCAATTACACGGGTCAAGAAGCATGCATGGAATCCATGGATGCATACATACATCATGCAAAGACAAGAAAAGATAGGACGGGGATTCGGTGAAGGCAATCAACCGAGGTGGTACAAAGGACCGTGTCAATGACATAGGTGGCATCCGCATCGCAGCCGTCACGTAACGTGCATGCTAGTCGCATGCAGGTGGTGGGAAGAACACGATATGGTGGCTAATGGATCGGAACAGGACCAAATAATTTGGTACCACCAATTCAAACATACAACGAACGCATCATCTAAAATATCCTCCAAAGACGTGGAAAATAGTAATTTACTTACATTGTAAACATGCGTCTACTTTGCTCACCTGTCTTGTTTATAAGGAATGGGGAGTAGATATAAGTGGAGAATGATTGTTGTATCTTTTCTTTGTATTGTATGATCCCAAGCTCAGGTCAACGTCGTGTGTGTTAGCACCGAGAAGGACGACTTCCTGTTTCAACATATGGTGGCTAAGGTTTCTTGCATGCGGCTACTATGTCTAGAATAACTATAATATTTCAGTTTAGTTCTACATCAAACATGAGAGATGATTGGAATCACAATTGGATGAGTCTCTTATCACTAATGTAGATAAATGAATCAATTATCTAATCAAATCTTATCATAATAGAGTTTTTTAGACATGTCATGTCATGGTCCACATTACTTATTTTCTCGTTCAGATTCTTAGATATTCAAGTTGGATTCTCTGCTTAACATGAGAGATAAAGAGAAGGCATGAGAGAAAGAAAGATCTTACCTTTATCATAAGAGCTCCTCCCTTTTGTTGAGCTCAAGTCGATTGATAGGGAATGATCTCAATACTACTCAAGTTCCAATAGCCAAAATCCTTTATCCAAACTTTGCCCAATTAATTAAAGAATATCCAAAGTCCTATTGTTCATTATCCAAATCTCAAGAGGCAGTTTAAGCAACAATAGAAGAGACCAAAATCAATAGTAATCATTAATTTTATCGAGAACACACAGGTGCTATCCAATGACTACTTATATTTTTATACATCTATAAGTTTTCTATCATGTATCTACAAGTTTACGAGCAATAAATATTGTTTTCATTTCGGCTTTATGTTTGTTTCTAGTGATAACTCTTTCACCGCAACTTCCATATGAGAGGTGATATCAAATCTATGGATTGTCGAACCTAAGCCTTATTTGGATCATCAATAATGATCAAACTATTTGCGACCCCCAAAGGATCTTCTTGTCCATACATTTCTTGTGAGCAACAACAACTTCTTACTCACAACTTGATCCTAAGAAATATAAGTTAGTCATTCTTTAATTGCATCAATGACCTCGACTCGAGCCACTAACATTGACAATGATAATTTGATGGTACTTGCGATCTCATCAAGGATTACGATCCATACTTAGATGACCAAATTCCATCTAGTGAGGAATGCGTTACTACGAACGCATCCGAATGATATGACATATGCACTGTGAGAGCTTTTCCAAAGCCCACAAGTTTAAGTGCTAATCCATGCTCGGGCTTGTGAATCACATAACAGACGCATAATGTAGTGAGATGGACTACACGGGTTACTGTGGCACCATAGAAACTCCACAAAAGCTAGCATGCATGTATTCAATTGAGTTGGCCTCAGTGTTGTCTCTTCACTGGTGTGCACTCAGAGACTGTTTCCACCGCTACCTATTTGTTTGCAGCCTTGATGTGCGAGTTGCTTTGTGGAAGTCAGTGAAAGCTTCCACCGGATGTGTCCTTTGTTGCTCTTCCTCATCATTAGGTTTGGCAATGCCAAATAATTTATATGATACTCTTTATTATATAAAATTACAGAAATAAGAGTGTAGAAATATCATAGTATGATAGGTGAAGATTTTGATCGTGAAAATTAACATCGGAATCAATTTAAAATTGAGATATGATGAGAGATTCGAATTCGGATAAGTTACCTCTTTGAGGCAATTCGTCGAGCACCCACCTGACATCTCACCAGCCGAACAGCTGGGACATCACATCATCCTTGGACTTGTGTTGCGCTCCTCTCTCCAACCTGGGCTGCGTCAGAAACCATTTAATTGTCGGCAAGCATTTCATCAAGCAGGTGGAGTGCAAGTCGCCGTATCAGGGAAGAGCATAAATGCCGGCGTATGTACAAGCAACAATAAAATGGCTTACAAGATCGATAGAGGAACGTCATGTGGTCCATCCGCACCGTCGCGCATTATGTCGAGCAGATGAGGAGTCCCTTTCGCGCATGACGTGCGAGGCATGTGTGCCTTCTCCTTCAGGGCCAGCGTGCGACGTGATGGGCGACTGAGCTGCCGCGATCCGATGCCGCTTTCGGCTTCATCAAACCGATGCGCCCATGGCGCTGGGACTCCACAAGGGAATGGGCCGCCTGTCGGCACATCAGGTCGCGTCCTACTGCGTGATCTTTGTCTGTCTCCGACAAAGTAAACCGTCTCCATCCAAATATAATTAGTTTTAAAGATTATATTTGTCTATGAAAGATCATATGTTCTTTAATTAAATTTTATTACTAATAAGATAATTTAGTTCCATATTAGTTGATGAGTATAAGAATCAAGGGCTCATAAATCCGTCAGATCTCCCTTATTTTCAAATATGTTTTTTGGAATTCACATGCTCCGAAAGGACAAAATCGGCCCATCGTACAAAGCGGATAATTTCGCACAAAGGGAATCAAGTTCCTTTATCAGATTGGCGTTAGAAAGATAACTCCTATGGGAGGGAACACCGATAAGAGACAATGACCGATCAACCAAATTATCCCTTATCAATTACAAAAATTAATTGACTTTATTAGCATTCCAATACTTAATTTTGTGTAAATACCATAAACCGTGAAATGCGTGTATCAGTGTTGCTATAGAAACCAGAGCCTCCAATTAAATGTTGCTGCTACTATTGTTGGGCTGACAGCCATGGTGATTTTTATCCTTTATATTGGAAGGATTTTATATGTATATCTTGATGTTTTATTTGATTGTAATTTTTATTTAATTTCACTGTTTGTTAGCATTTGTTCACGTACAAAAATTTATTTCTCTTTATATCCTATTACTCCTCAGCACACACAAGAGGCTTGTTATCTGTGTAATCTCATCATCAACGCCGATGCTTTCACTGCAACAAGTGGATTGACAAAGAGAAGACACAGACTGGTTGATGACACTTTAATCTATTGGTTCTTCTTGCTCAGCACCTCAAAGAGCATGTGAAGCAGTGGATAACACCTGCAACTCGACCTCCTCTGTGAGTCCACATGCACGAAACCCCACCATGAGAGAGCAGAGACTCGTCTTGCAGCCTCACATGGGATTCAACTCGATGGCTTTGATTCGCAACCCGAAAGGGAAAGCCAAAAGGTCCACAGGTCTCATGGCAATGGGGCTTAGTTTAATTGTGATGACAGCAATAATGCTCTTCGAAATAATAATCTTAATTAGCTGCATGCCTACCCCTAACCCTAATTCTCTGAATGATCCAAAAAGAAATGGTGGGATTGTTTAGGGTTTCTTTGCCAGCTGACACAATTGTTCTTATCACAACCAAAGGCTGAAACGGTAACCCAACATGCTATCCACCATAGATTCACTATAGATCATTGGCCATATATACTAAGATATGCTTAAATTCCTTTTTAGATTCTATTATCCTTTTTAGTAATGAGTCCCATTATTTCCAGTCAGAAGTAATGAGGTGACCTAATTGATGGACCTGATCAACTCTTGATTAGGTTGTATCACCTAATGAATCTATTATATAACAATAACAATAATAATAATAATAATAATAATAATAAGAGAAATATATGTTTTCTACATTGGGAATGTTGTCTTGAAGTGACAAGATGCCTTTGGTTTCCTCATGCACCAACCATATCTTGTCAACCTAAGCCGGAACTCCATGTACTACTTGTGTTGTTGTTTGCATCTAACTCAATCGAATGTAGCAAACAATGGAGGATTCTGGCCAAGTAGCAGACCATCTCTCCCAAGGTTTGTGCTGTCCCATGGAAGAAGAAGAAGAGTCGTACATGAGTCCCTCCTTAATACCCTGTGGAGCGTTGTCTGCGTTGATAATGACACCCTCCACATTCTTCCATCCCTCATCCCCAGACTCCACCATGGTCTCGAGCACACCACATGTTACTTGTACTTCGGAGGACATATATCCTCCACCATCAACTGTGGTGAGCAGATCTCTCCGCCCACATTGGTGGACCAGATGAAAGCTTCCGGTGCTGGCCATGGAGGAGTAGCAGATGTAGAGGATGAGGGCATGACCACATCCTGATTACTTAGTTGCATGAGGAACTCATGAAGTCAAGCAGCTGCTGGTTTTGCTTGGGTTTTACCTGCTATTACCATCCAACACTGTCAGATAGAAAGATGGTTTTGTTTGGGTGCATGTCATGTGTCGGCCACAGAAGCTGATGGAATCACCATCTTCTCTGAACTCGTTACCAACCTTCCTGTGTTGGCCATCAGCTGACACTGTGTGACAGAGATATTGCAGTCAGGCAAAGTGTAACTCCATAAACGCCCCCTGAAAACCTTTCATATATGGTAGCAAAATCTACAAGGGAAGACTGGACAGATGGAGAGAGATGCACCAAAACAAAACAAAGCACCAATGTTTTCATCAGCTATCACTAACTAAGAATAATAATAATGGTGGTGATGATTCCTACAGAAGTACATTACAGAGGCTGGTGACTCTTTCAGTTGCACCAAACACTAGAAGAGGAGGAAGAGAGGGTACTTCCATCTTCCCCTACCTCAGTGTCAGATGCACACCCTCATGCTGTTCTTGAGAGAGGGGAGGGCTCTACAGCCTCCTCTACCAGCAAAAAGGGGCCTAAAGAAGGAAGGATGGCAGGACAATGGCAACAAGTGACAAGATCAAAGCATTGTCGACAGAGACCTCCTTTAACATAATTGCAGCTCTTTCAAGGCCTCGGAGACCAAAGAAAGGGAAAAGGAAACAGTAACTCTGGTGCTCCCATACGGTCTTGCTTTCTGTTATAACTCTTCCCTGGATAAAAGTCTGAGATCAAGGCCAGGAAACATGTTGGGTTTTGTTTTCGGAAACACTTCCATCGATCTTGAGATTTGAGCTGCACCACAGCGTAAAGCTTTGAGGTGATTATTGGATTTTGAGCTTGGAAACAATAGAATTGAGATTTATGCTTCAGAATTTGATGTTTGCTTCTCCTTTATTATCATCAAACCGGTTCTTGTTTTCAAGAACAGGAAACACGAAACAGAAACAGTACAAAACTGCTGCTTGTTGTCACGCGCCGCCTGTCAATAAACAAAGGCACCAGCTTAGTCCCCTCCGATATATCTTATCGCTGTTCACGGTGGAGCTCCGCTGTTTTCTCAGATTAGTCTATTTGGCGAGAGTGAGAAGGGGAAGTGGAGGCAGGCATCCATGCGAGTGCGCGTCGGGGAGGGGAAGAGAGCAGGAAAGATGTAAGCTTTCTTGATCTCCACCCATCAAAATCTCTTCGTGCTCTGTTTTTTGCCAGAGATTGGTGGCTCTCAGGTCCCTGTCACGCCCTCAATGGCCGCCAGATCACCTTCCTCTTATGCGTCTGTTCCATAGCCCTCAGGGATCTCGTTCTTTTTCCTTGGCCACAAAAAAGGAACGATCTTGCGAGCAAGAATCACGAAAAAGATTTGGTTTTTTCGCTGTTCCTGCGATGTTTCGCTGTCCCTTGTTGGTTCTTGACGAAGCGACTCATTTGTTTTGTTGACATTTGGTGGGATCCTTTTGGATCTCGCGTGCATTAGGGTATTAAGAACATGCCTTTTTTATCATATGCAATCTTAAAGGCTGGATCTTTACATAGAGTTCATGAAAGGAGGGAAGCCAGCACAGATCTGGCAGGGTCGCTGCATCTTTGCATAGTGAACTTGTTGGATCGAAGACACATGCGGCTTTAGGTTCTTGGAAGCCCTTCTCCCATGTTGTGAATTTGAGCTCTTGTGCAGGGATCTCGCCTCAGTTTCCTTCCCATTCTTGTTTTCAGATTTTGCTCTCAGAATGCATTTAATCTGACGAGATCTTCGCCATTTTCTTCATCGTGAATGTATAAGGAAATGGAGGGTTGTTTCCTGAAGTCCTTGCTCCGAAAACTTCAGAGGATTCTGCTCCATGTTAGGAAGTTTAAGCTCACGAGTTGCTTTCCTTTTCGAGATCTATGCCAATAAGTTTCTTTCTTCTGCTTTTGATTGGTTTCTCAAGCTTAGGACTTCGTTTTTGTCTTCATCTTCAGATGGTCAGATTACCACCAGCACATATCTGTTTATCCTCTTTGACTATATTTCTTTCCCATCAAAAAGGAGAAAATTTCAGATTTGTAATCTACCGGATGAGAAAATCTGTATTGTTATAGTAATTTCAGTTTGAAATCTTCAGAATTATTTTGTTAGGTCAGCATAGTTAAGATTGCCCACGAAACTTGGTCGGTTTTCTTGAAACTTGACGTGATGACTGTCATCGCCATGGACTTAGGTGATGATCATGGTGATGACTGTCATCACCATGAACTCAAGCTTCTTACAGCTATGACTCATTTACCTAGAAAGAAAAGAAGAAATTCAAAGTTGGTGCACTGATTTCTTGATTTAGCTGTCAGCTTTGAGTTTTTGTCCTTTTAATCTCAAGATATTGTTGTGTTAATTAGATTTCTTATTTGTGCCATACTAATACTTGATCCTTTCTTATTTCAGAACACCACTTTATTTGGAGTTAATACATTTCCATGTTTCTGAGGGACAGCAAAGTCTAGTTAAATCAAATATCAAACACTGAAAGTGGTGGATATCTTATGAAGATGGATATATGGAGCTTCAACAAGAAAGCTCCAATGTCGGGGCGTTATCTGCCACAACCCTTCGGAACCCTTCATCTTCTTCTTCAGCGTTCGTCTCTGCTAATCAGTCCCCTTTCTTCTCCCCACGGTCACCATCAACACATACCTCTGAACCTCTAAAACATGACAGTGCCGCATGCCCAAACGGTGTCGGTATTACCGTGGATCATCTTGGCTCCCTAACTGGACGGTTGCAGTCAATATCTAATATCCATTTTGTTGCTTCCAATATTTCTCCTGCTCCCAGTTTCTGTTCTTCCAGTAATTTTGGAACTCCAGGAGCCGTATATAACAACCTTACTCTGGTTTCCTCCTTTAATGGTGTTTGCAATGGCAGTTCATCTAATAATAGCCAGGGAACAGGAAATAATTTCTTGGGTCGAGGGGAGAAGCAGAAGAGATTGGGCAAAAAACAGGGGAAGCTTTTGTGTTCCAGGCCTTCAGCTTCAGTTTCTTCAACTAGTAAACTTCGGAGCTACGATGTGTACATAGGCTTTCATGGAAGGAAGCCATCTTTGCTGAGAT